TAAAAACACCGGTACAATACTATAAAACACTCCCTAACTTAAATTACATACGGATACGCTTAAGGATGAATATAAAGTAGACATTTACCCCAAAAGGGCCTGTATCCGTCTATATATCGCTACTTTATAAGCAGTTAAGTTTATATATTTAAAGGACACGTCTTTCCACTTCTAGAATTTTGATGGGAGTGACGACACGACGGAACGATGCAAAGTAAGAATGACTTAGAAAGGGATTAGAGAACGACTCTAAATTTCAAAGTAAGTTTCCAGAAAAGGGTGCTAAATAGGCGACGTAGCGATGAAAGGGGTCGCATCGTTACAAGGGCTAGCTGCAATCTCCGCTTCCAAACTGTTTTGGGACCGGACTTCAACTTGGCTGATAGGTTATTGATCGATACTTGATCACAACTCCAAGAAATGTGTAGCTGATACATTTCAATGAACAGCATTGACGTGGCGCTCCCCGGGCGGCTAATCGAGTGTAATGACAAAGACTCATGTCATTTCATCGAGCGTTAATAGAATAGAACCCCGTCACCCCCGGGACGTACAACCGATGGCCAAAGATACATGATCCCCTTAAAGTCTATTTGGTTCTTAGTATATCAGTATGAAGAAAGGTGTTAAACAAAACTCAACTTTTAACTTGTGAGCCGAAAGATTCAATTTGAAATGACTTCCTTTTTGCATCATTAGATAATTATTTATTTTATATTAAACTTTATTGACCACAACGCGTGATGTGGTACAAAAGGCATTCTCTACCAGTCAACCTTTGAGAAAAGCGAAATTCCCGAATTTGACAAATTACATATAGTATTAAATTAATAATGTGTTAGTAACATAAATGTAATAAAGATGATAAAAGATGGCAAAGATACATATATTATGATACATGCAATAACAAAAGATGTTAATGATGATTATCGCTGTGACAAACTAGGAGACCTTCTGATGGAGTCCAGAAGAGCATTCCAGAGGCGTGTTGAGTGGAGAGTGAAGGAATCAGACATGTAGGCAGCATGAACGGGAATTACACAGCATGAAAGAGAGTTAATAGTCATGAGAGTCGCAGAGATGCTGAAATTTATATTTCAAGAGTATTCTGGATAGTGAGGATATTTATTTGTTTGATGCGCCAACAGAAATACACTATTAAACATGGACATATAACAACACTGCAGAAATTAGAGTGTAAACCCGATAATAGGCAAATACAGCATGCACATATGACATCGTATCATTATATTATATACAAAACAAATGGATATGATTTTAAACAATTTAAATTTTGCACATAAATTCCGAGAAAGATGCGAGGCTGGATTCAAACTCAAGATCTCTGCTTGAAAGGCGGTAGATCAGACCTTTAGGCTACCACGGCTTCAGTTTTAAATATAAACACTACAAAATCTGACAATACTGACTGTCTGGTTTCCACATCTGGAACGGACTACAACCTTGATGTCTACATACATAAAGAGATAAACTTTGTTAAGAATAACATTTAAACGAGATGTATTTATTTAAACAAAGTATCTTTTACAATCGACTCACTGCCACGAGCTGTACAACACACGCTTTATTGTATGACGGGAGGCAATTGTATTAACGATGCATTGAATGGTTTTTACTTTAAATGACACTGTGGAATATAATGATTTTTCAAAGATTTATAAACAAGAATGTAGAGACTGTGATAGGATTCTTCTGGGTAAATAGTCGATCATGTCGGTGGCTATAAAACTATTTTTTCGTATCTAGAATCGCGTATATTTGTTTTTTCAAACTAGCCTAAGTTTAGGGCTCGTTACAGGGAGTGTACTCCCGTTCTCGTCAGACATCCATCCGAAACAATTACTCGACCAAATTAAAGAAGACGTTGCAAAATGTCTATTCGGCTCGGATCGTTGACACGATACGTACAACATGGCCCTTATTACATAGAAATAAATGTTTTTTTGACCAGTTTAATGCGATTTTTTAACGGTGGCTTCCTTACGAGCTACGACAAACTATCTGCGGACACTATGAGCTCTATAGTCCTCTCTAGTTAAGGCTCTATTTACATTGCCACGGAATCGAAGCGAATTTTTGCAACCATAGCATAATAAACCGTCTCGTCATCGTATCCAGTTCGTATATTAGACAAATGACATAAAGGTGCTATGTGAAAGAGTTCGTCCAGGGAAGTACTGCCACCTTAACTATTTCTGCCGCTAAGCAGTAATCGAAGCATTACTGCGTTCCGGATTCCAAGAGTAAAAGGTGCTGGTGAAAGTACAGGCTCATGGAACTTTTCATCTTATATCTCAGGGTGACGGACGCAGTGGCAATGCCCCTCAGATCTTTGCGTTTTAAAGCTCTGAGTGGCACTGCAACTGTCATGGACAGGCTTCGAGAATTTTCTTCGAGATTTTTCTTCCCTTCATTAGGTATCATAAAAAAACATTTTTTTTTTGTTATTTTGTATTTCCTTCTCTAATTTTGGTCTTAAAAATTCTGAAGTTCTGAAATAATGACTAACGAACCTTTTTCTGTTGTCTACAGGTCACAAGTACATAGCCAATCGTAAACGCCAATAACCAATGGAAAGACCGTAACTAGTAAGCCTAATTAGTATAAGCCTAACCATGTCTCATCATCTCGTTACCGTCTGCATGTTCTGCCTGCTATGCGCAGCCCACACCTGCGGATCCCACATCGACAAACACGACGACCTATCTGTCTATGAACCCAAGATACTGAAACTTGAACATACGGCCTTAGAAGATAAACGAAAGTTCGAATCCAGAGAAAGGTATCACCAGAAACTACAAAAGATTAGGCATAAGGATAGAACGAAACGGGAGGTTAACGTTGATCCGACAAATGATTACGTCGAACGTATTTTCACAATTTATGGAGACCCCGAAAGCAATACCATGAACATGACTGGATTCAAGCAGATGCTAGAAGCGTTGAATCTTCATAGGCTAGTTGAGGGTGGTAAAGAGGATACTACTGAGAAGAATAGTGGAGTATATGGTGCTATAGGGACACAGGATGAAATAGTCAATGTAAGTAAATTTTTTTTAGTTATTTTTCTTTGTGAAGGATGAGAAGCAGTGCTAAGGCACCGGTAGGAAGAGACGCAAGAAAACAATGTCCGGAAGCGGTGGTAATCATTGTTCATCAGGTAGGTCGTCCGTCTGCCGCCGAATTGAAGAACATAAACAAAGTTACAATTTGAAGATCCGCTATATTGCAGGATTTTAAATCACTTTCCTAAACTTACAATACGAACAATAAAGTCTAAAGCCGATAAGTAAAGCCGCCATTTCAGTGACCAGCTAGTCAGTCTTTATGTGTGTAGTAGCATGTTTTAGCTATTATCAGAAGTTTATATCTAAATTTGTTATTATTGCAAAATGCCAAGGGCCTACCACTGTCTTTTAACATCATCAACTTATGACTGTAAAGACATCGTGATGACAAATATTCACAAAATTCTTCTCATACCTTCAGGCCGTATTGGCCAATAGCACCTTGTTATAGTCAAATATATAAATACTAAATTTTACACAATTCTGTGCAAAAACTTCACTAAATTTAATTATTTTATTCGATTTCAGATTATCAGTTGCAATTGCTCAAGCTCTTTCAAGTTTATTCACTTTATTTTGTTTCACAAAAAGTAAATTTATTTGTATTTTTTTTCTTTTCAGTGCGTAAATAGTACAGAGCTTGTCAAAAATATCAACACACGATTAAAAACCCATCACCATGGGCACCATGACCACCATGACCATCATGACAAACCTGAATGGGATACAACCATCACTAAAGATACTTTGACAGCTATATGCCCAATTCTTCTATTTCAACAAGTTTCAAACTACTCCTTGGACAGAAATGGATGTGTCAACGATAAGTACCTTTTGCAGCATTTAAGAGTATCACATCAAGAGAAACCTCGATCTCAAGGTAGCATATCGCCAAAAACGACAGAGAATTTGACTGAATCACAAGTTTTGGACGCTCCTTTGAAAGAACATGCTTCGAAAAATATGTTCAAAGTTTGGTTATATTCTTCTTTAAGCATAACAGCTATTAGCACTTGTGGTCTTTTAGGAGTAGCCGTTATTCCTATCATGCATAAGACTTATTACAATCACCTTTTACAGTTCCTTGTGGCTTTGGCCGTAGGAACCTTATGCGGAGATGCGTTATTGCACTTAATGCCGCACGCTATGTCACCAAGCCATGACCACGATCATGACCATGCAGAAGTGGATGTTCGAGCGTCACATGATGATGGCATGTGGAAAGGATTAGCTGCAATGCTCGGCGTGGTCTTCTTTTACTTCACAGAAAAAGGTCTAACGGTTGTCGTTGAATGGCGCAAAAGACGTCAAAAGCTTGAAGAAGACAAACTGCCTTCAAGAGTTCGCGTGCTCAAAGATGAAACTGTAGGCGGATGTTCCGGGGGCTCAAAATCAGTTGTCACCAATTCCACTTCAAATTCTTTACTAAAAATCTTTAAACGCGACGAAAAAGGTGATCCTACAACAAAGACATGCAAGCACAAATACTCTGAATACCCGTACTGTTACGACGAAATTGACACAGATACTCATGACGATCACCATATGAGAGATGGCGTACCTCCAAGTCCCAAAGCCAATAAGAATCATACAAATTCAGTTAGTGTTGTGTCTTCGAATGCTTTGAATGTGGATGGGAAAGAAGAGCCATCGGCGAAGGATTGGTTGCTAAAGGCAGAGGCTGCGCCTAGTGTTGAGTTGAACAATATTAAACATAAGGATGAGGGAAGCAAGGATTTGAAGGATGGAGATAGTTATACTGTTATACTGAGGTAATTTTTTTAATTATTGCAATTTTTTACTAGGTTGAAGTGCAGTTCACAGCGCAATTTAAAGTTCTGAGTGGCACTGCAACTGCTATGGACCGGCGTGTCGCTTACCACCAGGCGCACGACTTGTTCATTCCGTTACTTGATATCATTAAAAATAAAAAACCGCCCTTCGCGTTACGCAATTCGCGCGCTGAAATTGAATATGAATAAAATAAGAACAGGCGGAAAAATTTCACACACATTCGACATCGGGCAATTTTTAACGTCAGGATAAATGTGAATTGAATAACTATAGGGTTTCAGTTGAAAAGAAAAATTTAGCAGGTTCTCTGGAGTATTTAAAAAGAAAGTTATCTCCATATAAAAATTTTAGACTTTTATGTTATATGATCGGTAAAATACTTCTTATTATATATCGAGTATATAACCAGAAATAGAGACGAAATATCATTTAATTTGTTTGAAAACTATTCTGCCATATCATTACTGTGACAACTGCGCTCCGACTGGCTAGCCCGAGTTCGAAACAATTGACGGGTGTCGTCAACTGTTTCACTCCAAATCGACCAATTAACTTGAGCTTTGCTATAATGGACGAAAATTGCAAAATTACATATTTAATATTTAATTACCGATGAAATATGGGTCAGTAGGTCAGTAGTTGGCCTGTCTATACTTCAGTGCAAACGAGAGTTGATATTTATAAGAGCTGTATCGCTAATGTGTTACCAGGAATATATGGCCCTTATTTCGTCTCTATTTCTGGTTATATAAACGATGCTATCGTGTAACAAATTAGCTTATTCTTTACTTGGCAAAAATATGTAACTCCACAAACTTTTGAGATCGGTTTTTTTTTGTAATAAAGTTACAATTATTGACAATTTGGTCAATAGGGAACATTCTCGCGCGCACCACGGGCACTCTCACTCCCACGGCCACGTGCACGCCCCTCCTTCGTCCATCGCCTCCGTGGCCTGGATGGTTATCATGGGTGACGGCTTGCACAATTTCACCGATGGCATGGCAATTGGTAAGTTTAAACATTTGCATATATATGTAATTATTAATATCTATGATATACATATCGCAAAGAAAAATTCCTTTGATCTGAAATGACTCGAACCAGATAAAGATAAAAAGGATAGACAACTTGCGTACATTTTTTTTTAAATTTATTTATTTACGTACTGGTCACGAACGGGTTAAAAACAGGTTTTTCCCCAGTAGTTCCATGTACTGTGCTCCACATGGAACAATTGTTTTTTATCTTTATTCCTATTAGTCCCATATGTAGAGAGAGTCCTAAAGCTGCACATAATGGTTGTTTTTACCATTTCTCAATGGTACCATTGCAAAATGCTTAATTTTCAGCTTCTCTTTCATGTAATTTTGCAGGAGCGGCGTTTGCGTCGAACATCGCTGGCGGTTTTTCTACCGCTATTGCCGTTTTATGCCACGAACTGCCACATGAACTTGGTAAGTAAATTTTTTTGAAACGTATTTCTAAAAATGAACAATTATTTCTATTTCTGGATTCGATTTAAAAATTATTTCTTTGACCTAATAATGTATTTGCCACTGTCTCGTTTCCACCATCGCACCTGCCGCCAAAGGAATAGAGTCCATCTCCACATCATAAATGCATTGTGAGATCACGCAGGCATTACCGTCATTCCTTCCTCGAACCTGCAAGATGTGGAATGATCTTCTTCCTTTGCGCTATGACATGGGGTTCTTCAAAAAGCGTGTTTACAGGCTCTCAAAGGCTGGCAACGCATAGGCAGCTCATCTGATGTTGCAAATGTCCATGGGCGACGATGAACACCTCCCATTAAGTGGCTCATCTGCTAGTTTGCCTCCTATTCCGCTTAGAGCTGTAAATCGTAAAGATTTGACGGGTACTGCCACTGCACCTGTCACTCTGAGACATAAGTTGACAAGTTCCATGTGCCTGTAATTTCATATTTAAGTAAGGTGGCAGTACTTCCCTACACGAACTCTTTCACAAGGAGCTCTACTGCTTCTAAACCAGTCTTTGGCCCCGTCGGCTGTCTGTTCTGCGAGCCTTACGTGCTGGTGAAATTACAGGCACATGGGACTTGTCAACTTATGTCTCAGGGAGCAGTGGCAGTGCCGATCAGATTTATCCGAGTGCGAAAGCTCCGAGTGGCACTGCAACTTGTGATGAAAGAAACTCAGTCGTTTAAGGCGTTTTATAACAACTCGACTCCATTTTACAGGACTCGACTCTAAAATTAAGACTGGAGGTTCGGGTTTTTGTTAATAAGACTCAGTTGTTGTACTCGACTCGAGTTGTTTGCAAAGGACTTATACCTATTTTATGTCTTATTAAACCCGAAGTTTATAAATAAAAATGTTGTAAGTAGTATGTAGCAAATTATCACGTTTATTTACTTATAATAAAAATCGCAAAATAAATACCTTGTGGGTAGAAATAAAATCATACTCACACACATCTTCATACGGCTCATGGCTCGCAACTCCCGAGGCTATGAGGCGCCAGTCGTTTTAGTCCTATAAGTATTTTAAGCTTCCTAGGTTTAAAAGACTTCGACTCGAATTAGCCTTCAGTTTTAGTCTTATGACTCAAGACTTGACGGTTACAAGACTAGACTAGACGTGAGACGTTGAAAATTAGTCGAGGTTTTTTAAAAGGCCATAAAAGACTGAGTCTCTTTCATCACTAACTGCAACTGTCATGGATAGGCGTATCGCTTACCACCAGGCGCTGGACCTGTTCGTTCCGTCTCTTGGTATTATCAAGAAAAAAAGTTCTCGAGTGTCGATCGCGTACCGGAAGACGCAGCGTGGTCAGACCACCCACAAAGTGGACCGGATAACCTGGTAAAGGTTGCGAGAATCCGCAATGAACGTCTCTCTGCTGAAATGACGATGATGAGGCGCCAAGGCTGCAGTACTTGGAAAAACACAAATCATTTTACAAGAAATTAAATTTAAATAATGTAATTATTAATACAAAGATCGAACACTCAGAAAAAATTCCTTCGATCCGGTCGGATTCGAACCGACGTCTTCTTGCATACCGTGCCAGACGCTATACTAACTAAGCCACGCAATGAACCAACGGACCTCACGAATTTTTCTATGTGCTTGCGTCGTGTCTTTGTACTTGATCTTTCAACGACTTTTCAGCCGTAGCGCCATCTATGAGAAATCTTTGACAGATTTATCACCCAGTTAGTACCTTTACAGCTA